CTCTTTTTTGTCACATTTAATATTCGCAACAGTCATAGAAGATGGGTCTCAAAATTTTTTCCTCACAAATGAAGAAGTGAATGAACATCAAAAAATGTTAAAAAAATTTCCTAAGAACACAGAGCAAATAAGTGGCAGCGTTTGGGGCGGGGAACCCATGATCTGACTGATATCTGTGGCAGTGGGGTTGGGGGAATCAACCCCAACTCTGTTCTCAAAATCTAGTTATTCTCCCGTCTGTGTCTCCCTTGAAGTGCCCCAGAAGCTCAGGCAAGACCCCTGGTGGTCAGACTGATCAGTTATTTGGGAACGGGGTGGGGCAGGGTCCAGAGGAATCTTCTAGTCTACTCAGGCAGAGGGGAGGGGGCAGATTCAAGAGAGCCTCAGAAGTCGTGTGGAGCTGGGGACTAAAATGATTGATTCTCATAAATTTTTCCACAACTTTTACACTTTTGCTTTTTATAAGGATGGCCTTTCATCTCTCAAGAATCTTAGAACATTAAAAATAATCTTTAGAATCTTTCTGGCAGGTGATTCAAAACCTCACCTGGCTGCCTGCCCTTGTCCCCTGGTATGCAACATTTCTCAACAGGGCGAGGCCTCTCTGATGGCCACGCACAACGAGAACACCACGTGCAAGGTCTGTTGTCCTCAGTGAGCCGTTCAGCCCCTGGCCCCCCGCTTCCTGCCCGGTGAAGAGAGGCCTGTACCACTTCCTCAGCGCTTTCACATAGCAAACATCAGATCTGATCCTTAAAGGAAACAAAAACCAAACCACACAATTGTTGTCGAATTGATAACATTCACTTTCATATCGTTTTTAAGAATGCGTTCAATCCTAGTGGCAGTTTTAAGAAGAACGTATGCCTATTCCGTGGTATTTCTTCTCTGGATTCCTGTTCTCATCCTCTCCACGTCTCTGTCGATGAATGGGCCAGACACCATCACCCCCGTTTTACAATTGACAGTGAGAGGTTAAGTGCCTGGCCACTGCCCATGACCAAAGTGAAAGCAGGACATAGGTGTCCTGTTCAAATCTGAGGTTCGTTTTACCTCCTCCTTATGGCCAAATTGCTACCTCAGAAACTACCTTTTCGGTCCTGGCTGTAAAAATAGCATTATGTCTATAAAAGCTGGCCACTCTTACAGCTAAGATTTTGTTATCTCAGGAATCAGAGCCCTGAGTGTTTTGCCATAAATATGCTTTATATATTTAGCAAAATTTTAGAGAACAGTCACCTAACATGGGGGTAGGAGGGGGTGACCAGCAGTGGATGAAGCAGAGGGAAAGTTTGAGTCATCCCTGACCTTGAATGTGGACTTTGGCCAATGAATCTGAAGGAGGAAAACACTTCCAGATCCATTTTGATTCAGTACAATATGGGATAATTTTTACGAGTCCTTCCTAGGACTGGTTTGGACTGTTTTCTTCATGGAGCTTCCAACTGATTTTTAATTAATTGAAATGAATCATCATCATTAGAACCTTGTGAATATTTTTCCTATCACAAATGTAATTCTTTGAAAATTATTTTAAACTATTATTTTCAGGGATAAAAAAAACCCAGAGTGATGCTCTAGATTTAATGCTTTTGTAGAAACTTCGAGATGCTGAAGCTATGCCATTAACATGCTGTTTGCTTCCTACCACTTACTGGACACACAGCACATACCAGGAAATGTTGTAGTTGTCACTCTAAGAAGGTAAATTTTAGGCTCTTCATATTTTGAAGGTCAGTGAAGTTAAAAAAACTATGCCAGTATTCACACATTTTGACCTTAGAAAACATAATAAATTAATTTTCATTTGTATTTCATAGTCATCATATGGCAGAACGGTTCACTGCTATGTCTTCAATTCTTAGCATAGTATCTGGCATATAGTTGATAGTCGGTCTAGGCTGATGGAGTCAATTTGTATGCTAGTTAGAAGGTCATGAGAGCAGAGTTTTTCCTTAGCTAAAAAACACGAGCAGATATTTTTTCCTACTTACAATTGAGGTATTATTGGATTAAAAATCTCCTGGAGAGTCTCAGATGCATTTATGTTCCTGAGACTCCTTTCTAGCAGTTTCTAATCAGCGAGGACCAGGTGAGAAAGGCCAGGAACTACCAAGGGTGAAAAGAACGGCGCTGCCCAAACAGATGCTGTCCCAGCCAGAGACAGAGAACGCAGAGCGATCTTGTTTGTTAGGACACCTGTTCTGTCTTACCTACAAGGGAGTCAAATGCCAAGAATTATTAACTTTGGGTGTGGAGACAGCCCGTGAATACACATTCACACATTCAAGCTAAGATTATACATAAAGTGTTTCCCGATGGTAATTCTAATCCTAAAAATGGAGCAAACTGCAGCTCACCTTCTAAATCTAACATTACAATCAATCATCTTGGGTTATTTTTATAGTCAACTAGGTGAACATACATAATAGGATAAGGTAGGTCAATTTAAGTTTCTGGAAGCATCTGTGTTTTTATCAGGTTCAATTCTAGAATTTTTTTCTTGAACCAAAGCAAACTAACATGACTGTGTTATTTATGATATTCTAGAGAGGAAAATATGTGACAGAATAGTGTTTTGAAACAACAAGTTTCTGATATTTTCCCAAACTAAGTGCAGTTTTCACAAATCAAAAAGAAGACAAGATGTGTTAGAATACTGTGAAATGTTTTGTAAGGGATAATCTGTATTTTTAAGGACAAGTGTTGGTTTATAATACCATTATTCCCATCCCCCCATGGAGAAGGTTAAATGTAGTTCCATTGTAGGGTATTTTCATTTCTTTATCAGAAACATTTCAATTTAATTAAATCTATTTTTGAAGTTAGATATCCAACTTTATATGTCATAAATGATACCCAATTTTGTCCCCAACTGTATCTGGACACATATTCAAGCCTTAATGTTTCATAATCTTTATTAGTGTTATTTCTTAACAGTTTTGTCAGTACTGCTACATGAAACCATGCAAATATATCTACCTGTTTTCTTATTTTGGTATATAGTTTCTAGATATTGATATCAATAAAACATTACATATGGCATCATATGTAAACTTACATTTGCACCAGCATAACAAATAATATAGTGTCATGTTTAGAAGCCAAACTCTCAGCATATATTGGTCTTTATAAACAATATATTATGTATTATTAGTGAGACCAGCTTTTTTTCAATATTTAAAGTTCTACCAAGTTATGAGGTACTTTAGCTTTAGCTTCTTATAATAGAAAAGTTACAAATACTTTATCATGGTTAAATTTTTGTCTCTTCTTGGGCTCTTTTGTTTTGTGGGTTTTTTTGAAAGAACTTACTCAAGATTTGGAGGAGAGGAAAGAAATAGTAGATCTATTCCTTCATGTAAATACAATGCCAACTTTTCCTGCCTTTGCTATTTGTTAGCTCTCCTGTATCACTTGTGTTAAGAGCTTCGTCTCCCCACTGCTGTATCAGGAAAAGAGCTCAAGGTAGGCACATGGACTGTGAACTTATGTCATTGCCTAAAAACATAATTTGGATTCATTTCAATAACCAAGGAAGCATTTAACCATTTAAAAACTCATTTATGTGGCTAAATGAGGATTCTTACTGGTACAGCACTTCTCAAAAATAAGTAGAACTTACTTCCCCCACGTATATATCACTTCCAGGATTATATTCTTGAAATATTTAACCTTAACAGTGGAATACTAATTGAAGGATATGCTTTGTAGAGTAATGGTGTCACTCTCCAATAAGTTGTCTTGGATGGGCCATATCTTAGAATATCACCTCCTGTAGCAAAAATTTAAAGTTCTAATTGGTTCTATAGAATGGGAAGCTTTTCAGCTGTGGAAGTGATCTCAAAGCTTAGATTTATTTGTTTCCGTGTTTATATTTTTAGAGTGCATATTCATTGGATGAATGTGCCCTTTAACATTCATAGAAATTGTGGCCAGCACCTGTAGCACTTGCGCCTGTGGAGACGGGCTGTGTCATTTTATAGGGCAATCCTCCCAGGAAATGCCTCTACACTTCATGGTCAATTTTGTTCTGTGTGAACCTCATTGACACTGGTACTTGATCCTGATCCTCATTTTCAAGTAATTCTCTTCTCTCTTCCAGACACTTGCCTGATATCTTTAAGCAATTCATTTTTGGATGCTATATAGAAAAAATGTTGTCCTTTAAATCAGCTAACAAAAATGTATGTATGCAATTGGGTGGGGGTGATTATCTCTTCACTGAATTGTACACAGAAGAAGGTACTTTTTAGTAAATTTTCTAAATCCCTCCTTTTTTGGTGAATCAGTATTGCATACTATTACTGACCCTGGCTTTGATATTACTAGCTTTGCAGCCTTGGTCAGATGAATTTTCTGTTCCTTGATTCCTTCTGCAAAGTGAAACACTAATGTTACCCTACATAGGAGTGTTGTGAAGAATGAATTAATACATGTAAAGCACTTAGAACAGAACTCTTGGTAAATTTTAGCTACTATTACTGTCATTCATAAGTATCATATTATTTTATAGTAGTAAGATTTCTTTGTATATGTAGCTGCCCTTCTATCCTGTATATTGACATGTTAGCAACACTTTCAAAAGAAGGATCAATAGCATTGACTTAGAAAGGCAATGCTACAGTTATTTCAAAATCCTAGTCAATACAGTAGTTTTATTTGCTGTGTTCACTGTAAGTCTGGTTTGCTTATGATGAATTTTCATTACTGAAGGTGCTTTAACATGGCTGTTCTACCTAATAGTATAGTGTGTGCAAGTCTTTAAAGTTTTAAGAATCCCACAAGTGATTTTGCATCTGAGAGTGACAGCATCCCCTTGTGTTGTCAGTTTCAGAGCCACACTTCAGGTGTCTGACTGATTTGAGGAAGAAGACTGTGTGGTTTCCTTTATATTCCAAGGGGAATGTCAGCTTCAGGAGGAACAGGCATGCTGGGCTTCAAGGCTTTCAGACATAAAAGACATCTCGCTCACCATTTCCCACTACTTTGCTTTGCAGCTTGCAGTGCCCCACAATGATGAATGGACCCGATTTGCCAGGACCCTCGTGGAGATCCGTGCGAACAGAGCTGACAGCGAGGAGGAAAGCACCGTGGAGCTGTCTGCCTAGTGGAAGTGAGCCAGCCACCCCTCCCCAGCCCATCTTCACCTTCTAGAGCTCCACGTACACAGCCATCGCTTCCACTGTGTGCATTCGGTGTCAGTATTGCCGTGACATTTTGGGTGCCATATTGTGCCGGCTTTGCTCCAAGTGTTCCAAATGTACCTTACTCTGCTCTCCACTAACCTGAAATTCACCAGACCATTTCTATCTTTATATTTCTGTCTTAAAAATAAGGGTGGGAGGGAACCTGTATGGGTTTCGTTGTTGCCTTTTAACTACTTAGTAGCTGTATTTAATAGCTGGAAACCTCTGGTTAAATTTGTGCTTACATGCACTTCTGGCATAGTCCTATTAAATCCATATGAAGCCAGATATGATTAGGTGCAGATGTGGTGGGCTTCACGCTGTGGTGCAGGGCCAAAGACTCGAGATGGGGTGTTTCACATGGTGACTCACATTATGAATGGATTTACTAGAAGAACATTGCTGCTCCTTATTTATTGTGGTGTGCTGCATGGAACATATTTATTTGAAAGCATTAAAATAAACGATCCTAGAGCATGTGCGTAATGAGAGGACTGTATTGTCTCTGCTGCTGTTGAGGTTCCATTAAGTCCCAAATCACAATTACGGTACACCGCTTCCACGGAGGACCTGACGTCTTTAGAGGTTTGCTGCGGTGAACAAAATGAATTTTCATGCCTATTATTTCTAGGTACTTTAACAATATTTCAAATATTGTTGACCATTGATACCTTTCATTCAAGCTAATCTAGTCTGACAAAAGGCTGTGGTTCCTGAACATGACACCAGTGTTGCCAATAAAACGTTCCAAACCAGGCCCGCGCCAGCACGGGGAAGCCCTGCACCTGGGGAAAGGCCTGACTGGAACTCTGCCGTGAAGAGGGAGTGAGAGCAGGGCGCTGGGGCCACGTGAGAGGCTGATAATGAATTACTGGCAGCCAACCCGGCTGGACCGACACCAGGACTGGCTGGACTTTTATGAGGAAATGTGTGTGGTTTGTTGGAAAGCTCTCCCTTATCTCTTTCGCCAGAGTGACTCTGCCCCAAAACTCTCTTACATGTTGGAGTAAGAAAAACAGGTTAAGATGCACAAGTACCAAATGTTCTACACATTTCATTTTATTCACACTGAAAAAAATGTTTATTACTGTTGGACGAGGAAGTATGTCTATAAACAACTTTAATGAAAATTTTTTTCAAAAAGTCATTTTATGCCTCAAGAGAATTAAAATAAATAGTGGTTGAGTCATGAAGACATTTGAAAATAGGCTTTTGGCTTTTTAGGAAGAGAATTTCCATGGTCCTTTCTTGGTGGGGATTTCTTGAACTGTAGGATTCTTAAAATTTTTTAAATAGTGATATAATTTTCTCCCAGTGCCCCATGGTATCTAGATAGTGGAACTCTTGGTTAAGAGAAAATAAAATTTTAAATTAAATAGAGTACCTTAAATAGGTTTAAGAGCAACTGAATGAAAAGTACTGGGGGGCAAATTTTCTCAAGCATACACTAAAGGTCCAAGAATACATCAGTGACCCATGAGTCGCTGCTACAGACCGAACTCTGAATGATTCAGTGAGGGAGGAACGAAAACTGCAAAGGCCAGAGTCACTGGTGGTAATGACAAGAGTTCGCAGTGTTCCGTGGTATTGGAAGTGCCAGTGGTGGGCACAGGTGGTATGTATTGTGCGACAAGCCCCAGTAGGGAATTGACAATGGTGACCCCTGGCATTCTGAAGGAAGGCTATGCCATCGGAAGTAAAGAATTATGTGACTTTTTTTCTTTAAAAAAATTTTTTTTATTCATGTTCAAATACAGTTGTCTCCATTGTCCCACCACCACTTTCCCCTGCCGTACCCACCCCCATTATGTGACTTTTGAGAAAGGTTTCTGGCATGTTCCTGGGTCTTAGTAGAAATACAGTGTTTCACCACGAAGTATAAAGATACCAGACATCCAAACAGCCCGTGAAAAGCTGAGTCCTGGCAGCCTGTTGTAAAGTTGGACAGACCCGGCAGGCACGGCTTGTAAGATGAAATGGTGCATCTGTATGTACATCTGAGTGGGACCCGAAGGCACGACTGAGCTGCAGGAACACAGAGCTCAGAAGCCCAATGCCACCCACCAGAATTTTACCAGCACCCCTTCCCCGTGACTGTGTGGTCAGGTGGGGCAGGCAGTGCTGTTTGATCAGCTGAAAAAGAAGGCAAAGGTCAGAGCATGGTTCACATGTGGGTTGGCTCAGTGTGAAATGAAAACTGAAGATGGATACATTATCAAGGGTGACCTTGATAGATGGTAGAGGGGAAAACTTTCCCTTGGACGGAGCTGTGAGTTGTGCACGTGACCACTACTCTGTGTGGAAAGAGAAGCAGCCAGAAGTCAGCACACACAGATGTTCCCCCACTAACTCAAGTCGTCATCATCTCTCTCACCAACTCTCAGAATGATCTCCTAACTTATTTCCCTGCTTCAGCCTTTGACCTGTTCTGTTTCTTAATGGGGCCGCTTGAGTGACGATACTGTTACAACATTGAACTCCTCGGTGCGAAACACACCAAACGGCTTTCCACATGTTTATAGCGGCCTGTGGGCACTGCATGCGGTGACTCTCTCTCTGGGCTCACGTCCAGTCACGCCGAGCTTTATTAATCCGTTTCGGGTTCTCCAGGCTCACTTTTTCTTTGGCACTCCTGACGTCCAATCACAGGGCCTCTGTGCTAATTATTCTTCTTTCCAGAAGGCCGAAAGCACTGAGTTTACAAAACCACATGCACATATATCAAAATTCCACCCTTTAGTTAAGGTCATTCTTCTGATTGACTAATTTTTCAACTATCAGGTTTCTGTGGAAGTAACACTTGTCCTAAAGGCCAAACGTCAATGTCAATGTGAAGAAGCCGTAGTTTAAACGAGCAAAACAGCTGGAGATGGGCCTGAGAGCACCCAATGTTCTCTGCTAGAGAGAGCACTGAAAAGAAAGAGGATTAAACACTATGTATAGAATTAAAATGAGAAAGAGTACATTTTTGTATTTTTGTTGAGGCACAATTTACATATAATAAAATGCACTTACATGAAGAGGTTAGTTTAACAAGTTTTAATAATTATGTATACTCAGGTAACCACCAGACGAAACAAGACACAGAACATTTTAAGATGCACAGGTAATTCTTTCGTGGCCCTTTCTAGCAGTCTTTGTTTTGATTTTTGTCAACATAGCTTAGTTGCCTGTGCTGTTTTTTGTGTGCATTTTTATTTATTGAATTTTAGAGAGAGAGAGGTAGAGAGAGGGAAACATCAATTTGTTCCACTTATTGATGCGTTTATGAGTTGATTCTTGTACATGCTCTGATCGGGGATCGAACCCACAACCTTGGCCTGTCAGGATGATGCTCCAACCAACGGACCCACCTGGCCAGGGCTTGCCTGTGCTGTTCTTAAACTTCATATAAGTGCAATCATACAGCAAGTCTTATACTTTAGGCCTGGATTATTTTGCTCAGTATAATTTTTTTATATTCATGTATTAAAATGTTTCAGCAATGTTACTTTATTGCTGACTAGTATCCCATTTGAGGATTATAATGAAATTTGTTTATTCATTCACCAGTGGATGAACATTAGTGTTATTTCCAGTTTTAGGCCTTCCTGTAGAACGTTGCTATGAATATTCTTAACACAGTTATTTTTGTAGGCAGATGTTTTCTTAGATAATACTAAGCTGGAATTTCTGGGTCATGTGGTCATTCTGTTTTGCTTTATAAGGAACTTCAAAAGAGTTCTGCAAACTGTGGTACCATTTCACATTTCCGTCGGTAAAGCATCCGAGTTCCAGTTGCTCCACTGATTCTCCAGTGGCTGGTATTATTGGTCTTTTTAATTTTAGCCATTCTGGTGAGTATGAAACAATGTCTAGCTATTGTTTTAGTTTGCATATATTTCATGACCAATAATTTTAAGCACCTTTCAATATTTTTTCCAGCCTATGTCTTGGAACTTTATTTTCCTAATAAAATATTTTGAGTGGAGAAACTTTTTTATTTTGTTAAAGTCCAGTTTCCTCATATTTATCTTTCACGCTGACTATTTTATGGCTCTTCCTAGTAAAACTTTGCCCGCCACAGGTCATAAAGCCACTATCTCATGCTCTCTTCTGGGCATTTCACTGTTTTCACTTCTACACTTACATCTGTGATGGATCTTTAATTTTTGTGTGTGGAATGAGTAGTGGTCAAAGCTGATATTTTTGGAACCTATGGATCTTTAACTATTCTAGCAACTTTTGCTGAAAAGGTTATTTTCTTTTTGACCATTAAATTGAGCGAGCATCCTTGGTAAAAAGTTAGTTGACCATATACGAGTAGGTGTTTTCATAGACCACTGTTCCATTTCACTGAGCAGTTTGTCCATCTGCTGCACTGCATTGCCTCGGCTGCTGTAGGCTTTTTTAAGTCTCGCCATAATGCAGTGTAAGTTTTCCAACTTCGTTATTCATTTTGAAAGATTGTTTTAGCTACTCCAGGCCTTTGGTGTATCCACGTGAATTTTAGAATCATGACATTCTTAAAAGAAAATGATACTGCTTGGATTTCAATTAGAATTTCATTTATTCTATAAACCAACTTGAGAAAATGGACATCTTAATAGTTTTGAACCTTTCAATATGTTGGGGTATGTCTTTTCACTACAGAGCCACCTTTGGTTTATCTCACTAATATTTTTAGCATGTAGGTTGTACACATGTTTTTTTTTAGATTTATTCCTAAATGTTTTATTTTTAATTCTATTGTAAATGCTATTTTTAAATTTTATTTTTTAGTGTTTTTGCTTGTTTTTAGAAAAATTTATTTTTGTATATTTTATAAACTTGCCAAGTATACTTATCATTTCTAGTAGATTCTGTCCTGCTTGGAGTCCATGGTGCTTCTTGAATGTGTAGGTTAATAGTTTCCAGCAAGTGTGGGTAGCTCTTCAGACAGTGTTTCTTCAAGTGTTCTTCCCGCGCCTCCTCCCCTCTGGGACTCCCATTATGTGTGTGGTGACCTGCATGTTGGTGCCAACGGTTCTCTGTGCAGTTTTCTCACTCGTTTATCCTTTTAGTCTTCCAACTGCGTCATTTCAAATGACCCTTCTGCATGTTTGCTCATTCTTTCTTTGGTCCAGTCAGATCAGTTATTGGGCTCCTCTAGTGAAATTTTTATTTCAATCATGCTTTTCAACTCCAAATTTTCTATTTGGCTGAAAAAAATATAATAATTTCTAACAATTGATAATCTCCATTTGGTGAGGCATCATTCTCATACTTCCCTTTTGTTCTTTAGACATGGTTTTCTTTAGTTTGTTTAGTACATTTATAATAGCTGATTTAAGTCTCTGTCTAGAAAATTCAGTGTCTGGGATTTCTCAGGCACAGTTTCTATTGATTTTTTCCGGTGTATATGACATACTTTGTTTTTTCTTTGCATGTGTAAATTTTGTTGTTGTTGAAAGCTGGGTATTGTAATATACACACTAATAGTGATATTAATTGGCACCCTCTTAAATGCCTGGAAAAAGCTCTCTCAGTATTTGCCAAGTATACTTATCATTTCTAGTAGATTTTGTCCTGCTCACGGGTGTGTTGAGGTGCACTTCCACCACTCAGCCAGGCAGTTTGCCGCTCTGCGCGCGCCTTCACTTTCTGTTTTTTACTCAGAGCCTCGAGGTCAAGAGAGGCTGAGAGCTTAGGGTCTGTCTGTTCAAGTCTCCTGAGCTTTTCCACAGTTCTGAGTTGGTGTGTGTGTTCTTCCAGATTCTCAGGAACATCTCAGAGAGATTCACAGCTCTTACAGACATTTTATTCCCTAGCCTGTCCTCTCGAGTGTTTGGTTAGTCCAGCGACTTTCAACTGGTGTGCCACAAGAACTTTTAAGACTTGCAATACCTGAATATTTAGTCAGGGGCACTGACCTCTTTTCCCTCTGATTGTTAAATAGAAAAATGACAATAGCCAACACAACACACAACAATAGCCATCTGGTAAGAATGAATCAAACTTATACCTATTTCTTTGGTCGGATTGACGAAATATATATGGTTTGGTGTTCTGAAGAATTTTAGTAATTAGTTTGTGTGCCATGAGAAGAAAAAGGATGAAAATCGCTGGGTTAGTCTACTGTTTGCCCTGGCATTATTACCTCAGAGAGCAGCAACTAAGATATGAGCCTGTGAATGCTGACAAATGC